CTGCAGTGACCACTGGAAAACCATAATGCAATCTCTACAGCCCTTTAGCTGTGAAGACCAATGCATGTCAAAACAGCAGGAAAGAAGCACTAAAACAGTGCTTTCAGTCCCATGGCACTCTGTAATATTGTTATATAAATGTTTTCAGGAGTAACACAACTCTGTTCTGATTATGAGTGACAGCCTTTAAGTTGAATACTTTAGAAATAATTCATTACAGAGCAGTTTTCTGGGGAAAAAATCCAGTGGAAATGACCTTCCTAGAAACCTGGCAATGATTTGATTTGATGTATTAGATTTCTACCCCGCCCTCCCAGCCAAGGCAATTCGTTATTAGATGTCCATATAGATTCCAATACCCATATTATCCATACAACCTCAATCCCATGTGATATACTGGCTGGACTAGCAACAGGGAGACCTGGTTTTAAATCCTCAATCTGCTTTGGAGCTCACTGGTAACCCTGGGCCAGTCACTACTTCACATGATTGTTATGAAGATAAAAGGGGGAGGGGGAAACCATGTATTCTGCCTTGAGCTCTTAAGAAGAATAATTGCCTGAACCAATAACTCAGTGTGTGGACCATTAAATCAGAACACTGGAGTTAGGTACAAGACTGGGTCAGCCCACAGTTTATACAAAAATCCAAAAATAATTTGAAAAATTAAAATATGGACAGAAAAACTGACATCTTGTGGTGCTACATTGTGACATCTCTGCTGCCATTTTCAGGGAGCAAAGGAGAAGGGAAGTCCCCACCTGTCCCCACTGCATGAGTCAGGTGGGTGGTAGCAACAGCACTGGCACTATGTGGGGAGGAGCAGGAGCCACTGCCTGCCACAGCTGCATGAGCCAGGCAGGTAAGCAGCTATGCTGCAGGCAGGTAGGCAGGAGAGCAGGAGCAGCCACCAGAGCCCCCCCCCCGAGCCACTCAGGCAGAGGCACTGCAGGCTGGTGGTGAGGCATGGGAGGAGTGGTAGCCACTGCCACATGAGCCAGGCTGGCAGAGGTGGTGAAGCTACAGGAGGGCAAACTGGCCGGCACATGGGTGGCCCAGTGAACAAGCTGGGGGAATGGGATTCTCCCCACAAGTTTCTCAGGTCCTCTACTTTAATACATTATTCTGAACACAGTCCCAGAATGTGGATTAGAAAAGCCACACCATGGGGCCATGTACATGGGGGTGGGCGCAGATCTGGCAGAAATGAAAGGTTTGCAGGTGGGATTTTTAAAATTCCCTACAGAGAATAATGCCTGAGTTATTTAAGAATCTCACAAGATCACAGTCAGTACTCTGGGGTTGTCTTAGCAACCAAAGCGCTGTAGCTTGGGCCAAGGCAACCCAGCAGAATACTGGGTGAAATCATGAGCAGAAGCATCTGGGAGAGGATGAGAATAGCAGGGCAAAGTACAGAAAAGGCTGGGAAGGCAGAGAGAGTGTATGTGTGTGGGAAATGGAGGGAAGGAAAGCCTGGGGGGTGGAGAGTGGAAAATGGGGAAGGAGAAAAACCTTGGAAGAAAGAAGGTGGAGGGATAGGATTTTGCTCTCCGGTAAGTCTCATTGGTCCCCAGCTTGTAAAAAAAAATCCTGAAACATAAAACTTTGTTATCCTGGCTGGGAATCGACAAGTTCCTGAAAGTCCTTATTCAAGTTGAAAAGCCAACTCTATAAAAGCTAAGGTAAATTTATCCTGATTATTTAAATGTATTTACATAACAACTATTTATATCTTAATGTCATCATTTGAACTGTAGGAATAGGTCCCCTGGGTCTGCCCAGGATCCCTTGCCCTATCTAACACATCAGTGCTGTTACCAAGGATCTGTTGGCTAGTTTACATGCTACTTACTAGTGGTGGTTGTTGTCACAAAACCTTCCCTGTGCTGGTGATCTATGTATATTTATCTTAATGTGTGCTGCAGTATTTGTGAAAACATTGTATGCACTTAGACTTCACACATGGTAGAAGCATATGAACAGTACTCCCTGCCATGTATTAAGGGAAAGGGATTTTTCATGTTGACTCTGGAAGGTAATGTCTAAATTAACTGGTAAGGCAATACATCCTGGGACCAAATCCCCTCCCTCCTAATCATCAGTTATTTTCAAGCATTTCACAGATATGGGAGAACGTAAAAGGAGGCACTAAGGGACACCGCTGGAGTGAAGGTAAGACCTGCCCTGATAGGCAGGAGGTATGTTTCCTCAGGTATTATGCTCCAGATTGTGATTTAGATCTAAGTCTTGCCTTAGCAGCAGCACCTCCTTCATCCAACCATATCTGGTTGACACATACAGGAGAATGTAAAGAAAGGTGCCAGAGCATATAAAATGGACAGTGTACCTCTTATTTTAGCTTTGAATGTTCCTTTGCATAAAATAAACCCCATGAAAATAGAAACCAAGCACAGCATGGAGGAAGTTCTTATCTATCTCCTTTCTTTTCTTACTGTGCTGGTTTGCTATTTCCAGAGATCTGTAGTTGGTGCAGTCCATTGTACCACCTCAGTATTCTATCCTTTAATTCCTATGATTCTTCTGTTTCTTAGTCATGCTAGAGTGTGTCAGACAGAACAATGTGAACTGGCTTTTATATAGCTAGAAAGTCAGTACATGCCCTATATGAAGCTTCACTGTTATATCATACAAAAGTATCATACAAATCTTCAAAAATCCTGTTTAGGCCAACAGGTCCTTAAATACAACAGGTAGGGTTGGCAACCAGCAGGAGACAGGAGGCTGGGGTATGGGGAATGGCTGGCAGCAACAGCATGATGTCACTTCTGAGAAAACCTGGAAGAGACATCACACCTCTCTAGGAATCACAAGAAACTCTATGGTAAAACCCTAGAATGTTTAGCAATTCCTACAAAGGACATGAATTCTGGGCTCTCCCTGAAAGTGATGTCAGTCTTCTCTAGGAATTGCCTAAACCATACAGTTATTGGCAATTCCTAAAGAAACATGGCATCACTGTTGGGTTTTCCTGGAACTGACATTACGCCATCCCTAACAGCAATTTTTTTCTCTCCTGCTAGCCACTGGAGTTCTGGTGGGCAAGTCTTCCTGGGGCTGGAAGATTTCCTGCCTTCAGTAGGCACACAACAACCCTAGTAACAGGTGACTAAGCCCTTAAACAGTAAATGATTGTAAAATACATTGGGGTCATCAGCTGGCAGTTAATACAAGATGAAAGCATGATTAGTAGTGGCTTCTGCAATATGTTGATTCATTGACACCTCCTACTCTGTAAGGGTCATTCTTCATATTAAGATGTTTTTGAGACATGAAATGTGGCACGTGAATAAAACAGTATTCATTGGATTCCAGTTCATTGTGTTATAACGCCAAGACAGTTGTTAGCAGATATACATATAGATTCTAGGTGGATGAGCTTCAATCTCTTGCCATTTGTTTCCCAGAGTTAATGGTTTAAAAACTAACTTTAGATCATAACATTTAGGTGAGAAAGGAATTAAATAAGATTACATTTTTGTTGTGGTTGGCCTTGCTTTATGATTGAATAGTCTTGGTACTACCAATACATTCTTTAAAAAGCTGAAATGGACTTGCAGCACTATGGAACCAAGGAACAAACAGCAAGGCTACGATGAAATAATTCAGTGCAAGGTAGCATGGAATCTGCTGAGTGCTTTCTACATTAGAATTAGCAATGTTATTTCACTGGTAGAGCTATTCTGGAAACCAACCCCAGGAAACTGTGCTTCACCGGTTCCCCTGTATTGATACAGATTGACTCACAGCACAGATCCATAGGGACGGTTTGCTGAGTACTGCATTGAAACTCATTAAGATGCTGAAATCAATAGCAAGACATCATTGATTCGATGTCACAAAGGGGAAGTGCCACTTCCACTTCAGACAGAGAGGCAAAAAGATTATAAAATCTATATAAATACAAACATGGGTAGGATTTGATATTATTGGAACATGTCAGTACAAATCTCTTAACTCATGGGAAATATTCAAGAATATCCAGGGCTAGCCTTTGTTGCTTATTCACATCTACTCAGGAAGAGACATTCCAAAAGGAAAGAACTGGTTATATCAGAAATAAATGTATTGGACACAGAAAGATCATCTGCCTGATCCTCAACATATTGAAGTGAGGCTGCTCTGTGTTGGCAAAGTGTTTTGAGGATTAAACTGTTTGCTGCCTTTATGGGTGAACACAGAGAGATACTATTTAAAGAGCACTCAAAACAGCTTCTTCAATAAGAACCCAACTCATCCTGATGTTTAAGCATAGTAGGAGGTCTAATGCTGGATCACCCAACAGTTCATCACTTCACTTCATGAGTCAGGAAGGTTATCAAGTGTGTGTGTATTTTAAGTAGTACATATGTGGTTACATCTGTGTGTTTATCGTTGCCTTACAAAGGAAAAAAAAATGCTAACTGAAATTGCAAGATGGCTGCAGAAATAAGAGGGGAGGAAGAGAGGTTTGTGACATCACAGATACCAGCCTTCACAGATGTATGTTTCCTATTTAAACTTGGATCTGTAGAACTGGTTTTTAAAAGACCTTGCCTCAGAACTAAAGATGTATATTTACAGAGCAACAAAACTCCAAGGGTACAGCATATGTGGCTTTCTTCTTGAGTGCCCCCAATGCTTATTTTAGAAATCTCTTCCTGTGGTACACTAAATCGCAGGAATCAATCTTAAACAAAATGCTGTCAAAATAAAGCCTGTTAGTTACCTGTGTTCCCAATGTAATAATGCCTGAGATTCTTGCAATTCAAGATCAACAAACAAACAAAAATATAAGGGCTATATTGTGGTTTCATCAGCCTTTGTTGCTGCTTTGTTTCAGTTACGGGAATGCAGAAGGGGCCTATTTAGCAATGTATAATCCCACAACAAACACTGTTTGTTCTGTACCAGAAGGAATGATGAAGGGACTGTTTAGGAACATGCACATTGTACTTTGGAAAAAAAAGCCTCATTTCTTTAACAAACCCATCCAGGAGTTGCTATAAGATTGTGGCTCCTTCTGCATCCACACTTCTTGGGTCCTTCACACCAATTATGAAGTTGTTGGTTCTTCTGGCTCCATGAACTAGGGAAAGTACCTCAACTCTTTCCACATCTTGACCCTGGCTTCTCAAGTACTTGACATCTTCTTCAGGAAACTCACCTGACAGAGAATTTTAGATGAGGTTATTTTCTATAAAGCAGCCTTTATGTCCCCTTCCTTCTCATATATCAGAACCACTACATTCCCATTAAAGGCCAGCAGCTGTCCTCTTGACTGGGACCTGCAGTGACCAGTGGAAAAAGTGGGTTGTTCATGAGATTCCATACTCAGTGGGGGGGGGGGCACAGAACAGGCCCGTGGTGGTCCATATCAGCCTATGTGTTTAAGTGCTGTCAAGTCACAACTGACTTATGGTGACCCCAGCAAGAAATTTTCAAGGTGAGTGAGAAACGGAGGTGGTTTGCCATTGTCTTCCTCTGCAAAACCTTCTGTGGCGGTTTTCTATCCACTGAACCTGATTAGCTTCTGAGAACTGACAAGATCAAGCTATACCATGCTGCTTTCCCTTCCCACATCAAACTATTTCCCCAAAATATGTGTCTTAGAAAAGTAACATTCAGTAATCAGTTGCAAAGCAAATATTTCACAACTGGAAGAAAGCAGGTTTCCCAATTATTTCCCAGCAGAAAGGGGGGAAGAGAGAAGAGCAAAGAAAAATGAACTTCTAAGGAAGTAAGACTGATTTTAACGGCAATTGAAATTTTGTGTACAGATCTTAGCTGACCCAAAAAACCCTCTTTGCTCCTGAGATGGACAAATCACAAGGTAAGGCAGGCAGGCAAGATGAGGAGACCTTAGCACTTAGCCTGCCACAGGGGCCTGGTAAATTTCGATCCAGAGCATATCAAGGGACAGCCTTCTCAACTCTGTCACTGCCTCTCACATGCTGCTATGCACACAGTCTGCAAGCTTTGCTCCCAGCACACCTGATCCTGTGGAATAGTTCATCAGTCATGCTCCTGTTGGTGGGAATTTTGAATCAGAACTCCAATTTGCTAATACAGAGCCACCCGACCTGCTCAGATTCAGGAAGAAATGTGGAATGGAAGGGGAGACCTTTGACAGGCAGCCTCTCATCAGGTCTGCTCATTCCAGTGACAGAGAAGATTAAGAAGTGGAATTTACCATTTCTCCACAGCTGATGCAGCCTGCAGTGCCCCCAAGATTATGCCTCCCAGGAACTGGCAGCTGTCTGGTAGTAACAGGGAGGATACTAAGCAGGGTCTGCATTGCAAGGGTGAAATCAGAAAGAAAGCTCCCATTTTTCCACTGGTGGAAGTGTTGAGATTGAGTGAAAAAGCTGGCTGGATCCAGCCCATGGTAAGGTCACCCCCATGGTGCAGGTGAGAAAGATTACAGACTAATCTCGGGATTGTTGCAAAAATGCCCCCCTTCTCTATGTGTAAAACAAAACAAAAGCAGAACAGAAACCCAAGGTTAGTGTTCCACATTTCCCATACTTACTGTCAACCTCCAGGACATTAGAATGAAGCTGAGGATGAAGTCGGCCTAAGGAAAGGCTCTCACTCAGGTTCTTGTTATATGTTAAAACATTTACTAAAACCTGTTTAAAAAATAAACACAGATAGTAACAGATTTGAGAAACCCTTAGAGATGATGTTTTGTGCAGATGGAGAGAGGATCATAACACAAAGCCATGCCTCCATGGCATACCCAACCCCCTCATGTGAGAAAGCCTGCACAGTGGTCTATGCACACACCCATAGGTGTCCTTGAAAGTTACTGAGACCTTTGAAGACTGAAACTAACATCATCGTACCGTTATTTGTCAGTAACCATCTTATGAAAGACAATTTATATTAAGGCTTAACAAGCATGATAACTCATTGGCACTGTGCCCTTTATTGGATTAGTGCACTTTATTGGATTAGACCTGAGCCCACCTATTTTGTGTGGTTCTGGAATGTTTTCTGAAATTTCGAATATTATATTGATATGCATGGAATGAATTGTTTATATGAATTTGTTTACATTAATAGATACTGAGGTCTGTTGAATGTTTGGCTTTTTCATAGTTAATTTTTCACGGTTGCCCTTGTCGCCTTGCTTGATCTTCTTTCCACGATTCTCTTTTGGTTGTTACCTTTCCTAGTCATACTACTTGTCAGTCCCAGCAATGTGCCCACTAGGATTTCCAGCACAATGCTGGCAACTGGCAGGAGATTGCAAGGGGCAGGGACCTACAAATCAGTGCCATTACATTGGCATAGCATCACTTTTGGCATGAACCAGAAGTGATATCATTGTGTCAACGTGACACTTTAGCATTCACTGAAAGCTTGGGGTATATCCTCTAGCATAATGCTGACGCAATGATACCACTTCCAGTTCATGCCAGAAATTTGCCCCCACACCTCATTTCCTCCCAGCTCTGTTGAGTGGCTCTAGGTAACAGAGGGTCTATGGCAGGAGTTCCCCTGCCCAGCCCACGGAAATGACAAAGCTAGTGCCCACTGATGTATTTCCTAGTACCCATTTGTTTCTTTCCCCAAACAACTCCGCCTTTCTCCACCTTAGTAGAGCAGGAGGTTCTTCAGAAGCACAGGCGGGATGATGCTATTGCAGTCTTCCTGTTTGTGGGCTCCCTAGAGGTAGCTGGTTGGCTGCTCTGTGAACAGAATCCTGGACTAGATGGGCTCTGATCCAGCGTGGCTCATCTTATGTTCTTATGTTCTAGAAGGCATCAGCTTTGGTGCTGCAGGCAGTCCCCATTCAAAAATAGCTGCATCCTTCACAGGAAGATGTTTGGCCTGGAACTTTCTAACATTTTGTAATTGCCCCCTATAGCATCCATTTTGAGATTGGTCCTGTCTCCCACAGCAGCCATTTGTGCCTCAAAATTCTCAAAATTCCAAGCATGCCCATGGGTTTAATAAGGTTGTGGAGCCTCGGTGCTGCTTCTTAGGGGCCATGCTGTGGTGTTCAGAACTGACCTGTGTAATGCTGCTCAATGCTTTGTCTCCACCATTGGCTCCTAGACAAAGGTAAGTCCCACACATCCCTTCTGATGGCCGAACAACAGTGGGTAGTAAGAAAGACAAAGGTCTCTTTCCAGGCTGAATAAAATTTCTCTGTAGGAAAAAGAAATTCCCATTCCCAAAACATTATTAAAGACATCAGTGATTTTTTTAAAAAACCCTCCAGGGAACTATCTTCTCTTTACAGTAACTCCATGTTTCCAAGGCAATAAACATTCTTACCATTACCTCCAGGTAATGGGATTGAATAGGATACAATTCAAAGTACCTACTTGAACAATATTATATAAAATTTTATCTAGTTCTCTGCAGGAAATCCAAGGCCATTGATAAATTATATATACTGTGCCCATTACAAACAGAAAATGGCTGTTGACTGAATGGGATTTCCAAGCTAAGGGCTCAGTCTTAGAGACAAACTAGTCAGTTAATAGAAAATTCATAATCAAATATTTTAATGCATTTCAATCACATTTGGAGGGGGATGAACTAACGAGGTAATGGAGCTGAGGGAGGAAAATTTAAGCCTTCCCCATGCACTGTTTTCCTGACAGAAATGGCTTCCCTCAACTTGCTATTAGTCCTGGAAGGGGAAAAAATACATATGCCTGTCCTCAACCAGCCTTTTTTTCCTCCTGGGATTAATAGTGGTTTGGTCCTTAGAATTCCTTTAGCCTGTGCAAAACAACTTTACATGCAGAGAATAGTATAATTTATTTAGAGTAAATGGTTAAGAGCCATTTAAATGTTCAAGGTATACTTTTCTATCTCAAAGGCACTTGGGACATTATCTGTTCCAAAACTGCATCTCAAAACCTACATTTTTTTTGAAAGCTTACACAGCAAGCAACCCCCACCCCTACACACACGTGTTTTGAGTGGTACTGTCATATGAAAGAGAATGTAGTTATGCTCTCTCAGATTTTCATACATTCATAGCAATGTCTTCTAGGCAAGTGCAGGGGGGCTTTTGGTGCACACAGATTTTTCATATCTTGTGAAAACATTCCTATTCCATACAGAGGGGGGAACAGCTCCATCCGCACAAAGTGAAATTGCTCAAAAGTTCGGTGTCAGTTAATTCCCAGCCCAATATTACATGGCCTATGGAAAAACTGATTTCTGTTTAAAATGATTTGAAACCACAGGCATCATAGCATAGCAGAGGTTCCAAAACCTTTCTTGTCTACGTATATTGTTTTGTACCGCAGTTAAGGGCTTAATTCAGTGAGATGTGGGAGATCCATGACGGGATCTTCCGACAGCTTCAGTATTATCAGAAAGCAGTCACTGGGTGCTCCAGTTTAGATCAGGGATGTGGCACTAGTATGTTTAACCTTCCTTCTCCATGCTATTTCTCCAGGAAAACCTCATGCTGCCAAGCTGATTTAAGCCCTGGTAGAGAAAGAGACAGGCTGTTTGTTTTCCCCCCATACTGGGACTTAAAGCATCATGGCGAAATCGTTTTATCTGTGGGGAATTGTGCAACGGAGAAGGTTAAACATCCACAGACCCCTGTCTCAACATCATGGTTCCAGTCTGAATGCCATCCCTGCAACTGATTTTTGAGAAAACTGGATAGGTCACACCAAGGAGACCTAATCATTGATTAAACCCTTGTATAGTTAGTGCTTTTTCTATTACATGAACCAGATTAATTTCATAATGTATTACCATGGAATGGTTCCCTGTGTTATTCACCCAAGAAAAATCCAACATCTGACTGTTTAAAAGGATTCCAGAAGATGTCATAATTCCACTTCCGAATGGCCGGTTCAAGGAACTGAGGAGAAAAACAAAGGAACATCGTGAGAAATGAAACCCACCAAGTGATTCATCTGTCACTTCAAACTTCTTGATCTGCCCAATAGTTTCTCTAATATGTTTGTCTTCTGCTCAGCATTTATAGAAGGCAATTGAATAAATGCAGTCCATCACTGCTGATACAGTTAGAGCTATCATCAGCATCGCCATGACATTTTATCCCAAACATTGTTTGCAGTAAGAAGAAGGAGGAGGAGGAGGAAGAGGAGGAGGAGGAGGAGGAGGAGGAGGAGGAGGAGATTATTATTGGATTTATACCCCACCCTTCACTACCCAAAGGAGGATAAGGGGAATGTGCCCTCAGAAGGGACCTCTTCCCCAGCTGGTGAGCGGCTCTCCTTTTGCACCAAGGAACCATCCCTGAGCAGGGTGGGAGGGGGGCTCT